CGGAGAGCACGGAGGACAAATCCCCCCGGCAGAGCCTGGTGGGAGAGGCCGTTTTGAAGGGCTCCCCGGCGCAGGAAGGCAGCGGGGAGGAAAAGGCCCGGAGATGCCCCCGGAGGAGGGGCTGCAAAGCCAGCCCAGGGAGCTGTGAGGAGGAAAGAGCCGTCCTGTGCCGGGAAGGTGGCCGGAGCTGGAGCCGGAGCTCCGAGCTGGTGGTCCCTGAGCAGCCTCCCAGCAGGGAGAAGCCCTTCAGGTGCTGGGAATGTGGGAAGAGCTTCAGGAAGAGCTCCCACCTCCTCAGCCACCAGCTCATCCACACTGGGGCACGGCCCTACACGTGTAGGGAATGTGGGAAGAGCTTCAGTGACAGCTCCACCCTGATCCAACACCGGCGCATTCACACTGGGGAGAGGCCCTACACGTGTGTGGAATGTGGGAAGAGCTTCAGGCAGAGCTCCCACCTCCACATCCACCAGCGCATCCACACTGGGGAACAACCCTTCAAGTGTGGGGAATGTGGGATGAGCTTCAGGGACAGCTCCTACCTCCGTACCCACCAGCTCATCCACAGTGGGGAACGGCCCTACAAGTGCTTGCAATGTGAGAAGAGGTTTCAGTTCAGCTCAACTCTCCTCAGGCATGAGCGGGCACACACAGAGGAGAGGCCCTTCCGCTGCACCGACTGCGGGAAGGGCTTCAACCGGAACTCCCACCTCATCAGGCACCGGCGCATCCACACCGGGGAGAGGCCCTACAAGTGTGGGGAGTGTGGGAAGAGCTTCAGCCGGAGCTCCCACTTGACCAGACACCAACGGACCCACCAGTAGAAGAAGCCCTAGGAGTGCCCCGACTGCAGGAAGAGCTTTGACCGCTGCTCCCACCCTGAATGACCCCCTCTGATGGTGAGGCAACCCCTGGAGTCCAGTGACTGTCAGTCCATCCCTTTCTACCAGAAAGGGCCAGTCCCCTTTGCCAGTGGCAGGTTATGCCAACAGAACCCTTCTTGGGGGATGTGTGGAGATTCCTGCCTTGGCTGGGACCCCCCAAGGTCAGTGCTGGAGGTTGAGAGCAGAGATCTCCCCCCGAGCATTGGTCTGGGGGAGTTCCATCCCTCTCTAATTCATAATTCTTGCTTTGGTGCCAGCTTGAGTAGAATTGCTTCAACAATTGCTTTAGTGTAGAGCACTGTCCTATCTTATCCTGTACTGCTGGTAGTTTTCATGTTTCTATTGTGCAGTAAATATTTCTGATGAAGATCTTTAGTCTGATCATTTGTAACCCTAAATAATTCATTTCTATCAGTAGATCTGATTTGCGATCCTTAAAACCTGGGGGACAAAAGTGGTTCAGTCCCACCTTTGTAAATCCTCTAAACTGAAAATGTTGACATAACCCAAGGCTGAGATTGGATCCAGCAGCCCCAACACCCCAAAGTAAGTTTGGAGCTCAGGGGGCCACCTCCCTTTTATAAATCCTCCATTTCCCAAAGACCCCTATGGTACCGACAGATCTTCCAGACCACCCACCCTTTTCCACCCTTCTCCCTGTTCCTCCCACTTTTCCATGGTCCCCTGGTGCAATCTGCTTAAATATTGCAGAAAGAAATTCAGATTTAAAATTCTCTTGAGCAAAACTGAAATTCACACAAGGTATCTGTTGATACCAAAACCTGATTTATTAATTGCTAAGAGATGGAAAGAGAATGGAAAAAATAAGAAAAGGTTGGAAGCTGCAAAGATTATTTCTAGATGCAGAGAAAATATACCACTGAAAACTATGTTTTCCCACTGAGCTGCTGTGTGTGGCAGAGGAGAAGCAGATTCTGCCTTTTTATTCTCTGTTCCTGCACCTTTTGGATGTTGTCTCTGTAGCTGCAGGGGCTCTGACAGCTTTAGTTCTCTGCAATGCACCAGGTGTGGTTTCACCGCTCACGCCCCTGTCCCAGGCCCTGCAGGGTCTCAGCTCAGCCCAAGCTTTGGGCCCTCAGAAATATGGTCAGGGTAGAAGGATAAGGTAGAACTGCCACATGTGGCACGGTGGTCTCAGCT